GGAGGCAAGGATTCTGAGGCTCTGTCTAACTTACTTTGGACATGTTGTGAGGAGAGACCGGTCCTTAGAGAGGGACATCATGCTTGGGAGCGTGGATGGACAGCGCAGGTGAGGAAAACCCTCTATGAGGTGGATTGATTCAGTGACTGGCCTAATCAGGATTGGTGTATCAAAGACAGTGTGACTGGCACAGCACAGAGCAGAGATTAGGGCTGTTGTATGAGTCGCAAGCAACTCAATGGCGTATAACAACAACGTCTTCAAAAAAATAACTGGCTGCCATTAAGTAGACTCTAACTCATATTAATCCTCAGACGTGTCAAGGTGCACCTGTGTTCTACATGGTTCGGTTTTCAATGGCTGGGCTCTGTATGTTTGTCTTTGGAGATAGATTATTGGTGTTAGGTGCCATAGAGCAAGCTTTCCCCCCAGGGTACCTCTGGTTGGGTGTACACCTTTGATCTTTTGCCTAACAACTCAGCAAGTTATCCTGTGTGTTATACCTATTTTCAAAGTTCCAAAAAGGACCTCTTATTGTCATCGATTCAGAACTGCCTCAAGGCTGATCCTCTCGTGGCTCTTCAGAGGCGGTTCAGTTGCACAAGAAGAGACTGCTTATCTTTCTCTCTCAGAGCGGCTGGTGGATTCCAACAGTTATTGTCTCTTTTCTGCAACTAAAATCTGGTTTTCCCATTCAAACCATGTAAGCTACAAAATGCAACAGTGGTGAATATGAGTCCTTCTAAAGCTCCCAGACCAGAGTTCTCCTAGATAAATAATCAGGAGCACTTTTCTTCTCTCTCTCTCTCTCTCTCTGCCTGTGCATGATGATTTGGGGTGGACAACTGTTATACAAGCATCTATAGCTTTTACTGATTACCACTCTAAGTTGTTGAGAACAAAACAAATAAATCTGTATGCCTGGCAGTAGTGCTTAGTAAGGGTTTATTGAATGAATGATTACATAAGATCTTGCCAAATCATATAAAAGTGGTTCAGAAGGATCACATTTGTTCTGTGCCAGGAATTATCAGCATACCACAACTAATATCCAGAAAACAGTATCATGGGAAAAAAGTTACGTAGTTTATTTTAGTATCAGCCAAATGATGATGTTAATTCTAGACAATAACAGGGAATCTTCATTAGCTCAAGTTTGAGGGTCACACTGATGATAGTGAACCAGTATTGATACTGTAAATTTCTTCTTCCCCAAACAGAGTGTGAAGTAAATAAACCCTTTTGATTAATATTAAGATTAGCTGATTAATTTTGTAAAGTTGGAACAGTGCTATTTAGCATGCCATAGAAAAGACATAAATTAGCACACTTCCAATTTATAAAATTGATACTTTCATTATGAAAAGTCTAAACCCAGGTCTCTTTTAAAAGGCATATGGGGGAGGGAAAATCAAGTGAATAGTAACAATGACAAAAAATAGTGACAATCTGGTAATTATGTATTGAGGATTTGTTGGTAACTTTAATGTTCACCCTCCTATCCCAACAACTATGAATATTAAATAGTGGGGTAATCACACAATGAAAATAAAAGAATCATGAAGTAAATGAAAAAAATTGTTGGTAGAAATGAAACGTAAGCGTCCTTTGTCCTGTATAATGAACATCAACACGTAAGTGAATTTTTTTATTCTTACAAATGAGAAGCTAAACTTTGTTCTCTGCATAATATTCCTTTCCTGGCTAGCATGCTACTCCTACTTGGTATTATTACTTGTACAATGCCTTTTCCTCTGAAACATATAGACACCATATGCACATTTGCCCCCTCATTTAAAAGCTTCACCCTTTGCTGATGAAATATATGCAAATTATCGTATTGTATTTGAAATCTTCCCTCATTAGTTTTCAAAATCCAATATCCTACTGCAGCCTGCTGACAAAATCTCTAACCACTTTAAACTGGGTTGAGAAGTAGCCCAGGTCTGAACTGCTTAAGAAGAGAATAGAAGTTGCCCTGGGAATAAAGGCATTTTATACACTGAAACACAGTAGCAACACCCTGACTTGTGAAGAGCAGGCAGAATCCGACTGCATTCAATTTGCATGCAGGTGGTGAACCTCTGAAGTGGTATTAAAGGATGAGCCAGGGTGGATTAATTTCCAGTCTTTGATATTCATTAACTCTAGCTTCAGAAAAAAAATACAAGGAGATGACACAATTACCCTCAGAGCTTCACCCGTGAGCAGCAGCTTTACAACCTCAAGTTCATCATGCTATCCTAATTGATCAAGAAAGGACACCTGCCTTTAGAAAGAAGTGAAACAGTGTATGGGCTTACGTATGGTGGTGTAATGACATTTGGCTCTGGGATAGTCTGTACTCTTTCGAAACACTTAGCAAAACTGTTGTCACTATTTGTTCTCTAAGTGGCCTGCCAATCACCAGCCTTCTATGGTTTTCAATAATCCTCTGCCACACAAAACTTCATTTCTTTTCACTGAAGGTGATGGTGGTTAACATACACTATCCATTTATTTCAAAGGAATAAGCATTTGGTCTCATCATTGTATCTCTTTACGAATTAAGAAACCTTTAAAAGAGAGATCCTTAGGAAAAATGGTAGTACACAAGAAAATCTTTCCACCAGAAGGAAAAACTGAAGTTATCAAGTGGTTTCAAATTCCTTTTTGAAGTAGGTCACAAGAGATAAAGGTAAGGATAGATTATGAGTGCGAGCAATGTGCTTTAAGTATCTAGAAAGACTTCTGTGTGGACTTGATGCTCACCTCTGGTTCTTCAAAGATTTCGGGATCTCTGTGTAAGGCTGGAGGAAAGATGGCTACCAAGTCTCTCTTTCGCAAATTACATTCCCCAGACTTCAAAGGAAGAATGAGATCCTCTTCAACGTAACGAATGGTGGCTGAATATGAACACAATCGTAGAGTCTCAAGAACAATGCTTTCTAAAGGAAACAAACACAAGGTTATTAAAAACATGACCGTTACTGAAAGAAAGGATAACAGTTTAAAGACTAAAATGTGTCTGATCCAAGCAATGGCATTTCCAATTGCTTCCTATGCATCTGTAAACTGTATATGGACTAAGGTAGACTGAGGAAGAATCAATGAGTTGTGATGTTGGCAAAAAGTGCTGAAAATCCTAGGTCCTGTCAAAAGAATAAACAAGTGTGTCTTAGAGGACGTGCAACCAGGGTACTCCTTAGAGGCAAGGATGATGAGCTTTGTCTCACACAGTTTGGGCACATTGTCAGGAGGGGGCAGTCTTTAGAAAAAGACATCATGATGGGTAAGGTGGAGAGTCAGTAAAAGAGAGGAAGACCCCTAAGAAGATGGATTGGCAGATTGTAACAATGACTTCCCGCATGTTGGAGTTCGTGAGGATGGTGCAGGATGGGGCAAGGTTCAGATCTCTTGTTCACAGGGTTGCTATGAGTCATAGTTGACTCGATGGCACCTAACAACAACATTACTGAAAGTCCCTCTGTGGTGAAATAGTTTGTATCCAACTACTAAGTGAAAAATTAAACCCACCTAGAGGTGCCTTAGAGGACAGGTTAAGCAATCACCTTCCACAAAGGTAACTACCAAGAAATCCGAGGGAGCACTGTTCTGTTTTCTGCACACAAGGTGGCCAGGAATTAGGATTGACCTGTCAGCGATAGTTCATTGTGGGTATCCCCTTGCCCTCGTCCCCCACTCAGTTTTGGATGTTGTTCTTGTCATGTGTTGTTGAGTCAACTGCAACTCCTAGTGACCCTTTGAACAACAGATATAAAATTTGTCCTATCCTGTGCCACCTTACCACCTCTGACACACTTGAGCCCACTGCTATAGTCACCATGTCAAATCATATCGTTGAGCGTCTTCTTCTCTTACGCTGACCCTCCACCTGTCCCTATTTCCTATCAAAGCTCATTAACTACAGCCTTGATTTAAAAGGAAAAACATCTTGAATCAATTTTGCTGAGCACTGAGACAGAGGCATGTGGGGTGGGGCTTAGGAGAAGTGGAGAGGGGGTGTAAGGAGACAGCAGTGACACCTGCCCCAACATGGTTTGCAGCCACTTCATGGGCAGAAGGTGGCAGCGCTGTGTTTGGGTAAAAAGTCCTTAATTAGAATTTTTGTAGGCAAGAGCAGTCTGAAAGAGAAGAATGTTGCGTTCTGAGTATACACATTGGAAATTACAATTGTGAGGCTGTTAAGCTACACCATAGGTGGGTTATTTCACCAACCTTCAGAACAGTGACATCTTTAAAGCCAGACTTAGCCATTTAATAACCACTTAGGCAGTTAATAGTAAAGTAATTGTAGTAGTGCTTCCGAGACAGCTTAACACTTAATTTCTTTTATGCTAGCTGTAAATAAAATATGAGTGAGCATTTGCTGGAAAAATTTCTAAGGAAAAATACTTTAATAGGATTTGAGAGGAAACTACATTTTCTTTAGCATCCAGGGAAAGTAACAACCATCACCATCTCCTGGAAGATTCCAGAAGCCGAATGTCCTTGCTTTCCCAGTGGCCTTCACCTTTTGCTCCTAGCACGACAGATTTTATGGCTAATTTCCGGCAATTTATCCTGGCAGTTTGAGGAGGAATTCCTCTGGGAATAATATGCATAATTTGCATAAATCATTCTGATAGCATGCATATCAGCATGTAGCTCCTGTCTAGGTCTGCATCTCTCTCTTCATAATCAAAACTGACTATGTTTCCACCGGCGTGAATGGGCCCTAGAATATAAAGCTTGATTCTTTCTAATCAGCAATGTGAAAAAGAGCTCCAAGCAGAGGAGTTTTTCCCTTCCACATGAGAACAAATGGTTGTGTTTATGGCTTGCCATTTAGCAATATCTCACATACACTCACGTGTGCGTGCGTGCGTGTGCACGCGCGCGCGCACACACACGGCTCAGTGTTCTGCAAAGCTTTGAAACACAGAGTACCCAATAATTATTAGATTATTAAAGTAAGCTCATCAGTGGAGGCTTGCATGAGCCAAAAAAATGGAGATGACTGCTATGCTGTAATTTTTTAATCTCTGCCCAGATTGCATGGAGATATCAGTAGCCCTGGTGCCTTCTCACAGGAGGCTTTTTCCTTAAGCATGGATTTGTCTAAAGAAATGAGGCTGTGGTCAGCTCTGGTGGCCACTGTAGTGATTCAATGTGACGTACAGTGAGGGTGTGCATATTCTTTTAGACTGCCTTTGTTACCATAATCAGGCAGAGTCAAGCCGGCTTGTTGGAGATGAGGTTAGAAAAGAACTTGGATTTTGGAACCTGGAACTCCACTTCTGAGAGCCACAAGGCAGCTGACACAATGGATTTCAACTGGCAGTTTACCAGCAACCAAAATTTCTATGGTGCAAAGCAAAGGGTCATTGTCCCATGGCTGGTTCTGTTGGGAAACAACAGCAGAACATCATTTAAGCTTGTGGGAAATGGGTGCTGACATATGTAGCAGCACTGTTCACCCAACTAGTCCAGCAGGAGAGTGGGGAGAAGAAACAGGAAGGCAAAATAATAACGTGGGGTGGATGCTTTGAAAGGGCAGGCAGTTAACAGTCCAAATAACATGGTCACATCCTATTGGCTCCCAAGCTCTCAGGAAGCATGGCAGCTTGTGCCCACTGTAGTATCACAAATGACAATTGGGCAAGCATATCTTATGCAGAAGTTAATCACAATAATGGAGCACAAAGTGTGGCTTAGCGGTCAGATCGTAAATGACAAATCTGTTTTACCTTCCAGTACCAGTTATGCGCGCAAGGCAGGCTTGGCTCTTGCTCTGAGCGATCATGCCGATAATCATTAGATGACAAAAGTAATGAGTTGCGTTATTATCAAAAATGGGGAGAGGGGCTGGGGTGGAACCGTGGTGCAACACACACAGGCACAAAAGCAGGCAGCTTTTCCACTCGCCCCAGCCCGATCGCAGGCAGAGCTATATGCTGAGAAGAATGAAAACTGCACAATAAAACATTGCAGCCTCTACTTGTAGTTGTCATAGTTGAGCAGACACCAGCCAATGCCACTGACAGACCAGCTGGGCCCTGGGAGGGCTTCCATGCTGCACCAGGAGGTACAGTAAATTATCCTACATGGTAGAGCAACATCTGTTTCTGTGCTAGTGCCGAACAAACAAGGCAATTTAAAACATACCAAGGGATAACCAAACAACAAATGAGCATGACCCTCGTTTCCTTCCCCCTTCTCCCACACAAGGTGCTCAACTTCACTGTGTGAGCACTCTGTGAGCGAGAAGCCAGGTTGCTATTTGATAAGGTGTTGTCAGAGAGATGGTACATATTTCCAAAATGGAAAGAAAAAGCTTATAGTATTGTTATTCTTAGAAACGCCCCCCCTTCTATCTTCATTTCTTTTCTACCAAAGCTAGCACTCCGTTCTCAATTCGCTCTAGAATTTAAAAAAAATGCCACACACCCAACTTTCCATATACTTATAAATATTCAGTCTTTAAACCTAATTTGCTATACTTAGTTCACATGCCTTCAAGCATTTGTCTTCCAATTTCCACTGAATAAATGCGTACTAATGAGAACTAGAGCAAGCTGCTGAGGCAAAGCTGGGTGACTTGGGTCTGGCCTGCCACCAGCTTGTGATAGGCGGGCAAATTGAGTTAAAATGAAAAGTCTTGTCAGCTGAAATTCAACATGGTAGCCAAACAGCAAGCTGTCAATCATTCAGCCAAAACAAGGGACCGCAGGTAATAAAAGGTCATTGTAAATCATTAGTGCAGTTGGCTTTCACATGCAAGTTAATTTTAATTAAACATGATCTCTTATCTGTAAATGTTTTATAAAACTTATTGTGCATAATGGATTGTTAATTTATATGAATGCTTCACAGGTAATGGGACTTTTTAATTATTAGATGCACTTTAGGGGGGAAAAAAGACTATCAAGAATGCAAATATTTTGGAGGATCCTTTAAACTAGGCATTGCAAGATCCCAACAATCTTAATTGTGGTTGCGATAAGGTTGCCTGTGCTTTATTAAGAGCTGAGTTTTGCTGATCACTATGTGGTCTCTAAGCAAAATGAAATAAACACACAATAGAATTACCTAAGTCCCATAATGAGTTCACAATTCCGAGCCTCCTCTAACTTCTTCTCCTGGCTTATCTTTTTTAGGATATTTAACAATTTGGATTAAGCACCTGTTTAAGCAAAATCTGGAGAATATCTTGAGAAGCTGACCTTGTACAACATAACTGGAAAGGAAATGGTGAGTGAAAGGAGTAGAGGATAGGGGAGTGTATAGATTTTCTCTTTTGATCTCAGTTATTTTTGTAGTAAATGACAGATGATCCTCATTTACAGATTTAAAGGCAACAGAGCAGCAATACCTGTAACAGTGCGCGCGCGCACACACACAAGCACATCTGGGTCTCTGCCTGACACTTAGCCATAACTGTATATGTGGAATGAATGTGCTGTGACATGGCCAGGCTGCTAATTTGGGTCACGTTAATGATTGGTGCAAACTGTCATACCATCTGATTAGCCGTGGAGACCAATGGCTAGCAGCGATGACTGGAATGAAAGGAACAGTCATATCATGTGGCACTCTGCTAGGGCTGACCACTTGGCCAGTCTTTAAAAGAGTACATAAAGGGGAGAGGGGGACACTAAGTATGGAGATAGTCTACTGTAGAAAGTGTGATGAAACTGGTGGAAGCTCAAGACAAGTTTTCTTGTGCATAATTGTCTTTAAGACAGGCTCAAGAGTAAATAAGAAATTGTGATAATCAACTAGTTGATCTGAGGCAAAATAATTAACTGCTTTTGACCAAAAAACTGTATAATTTAAGGATGTTAAAATTAAATCTGAATGGTGGATACAAGCCACATATTCATCATAGATGAATAAAATGTGGTAGATGTTACTGTTCAGTGCTGCAAAGCTGGTTCTGATTCAT